AGTTGTGATCTTGTGGAGAACTTAAAACGAATCCCATAGCTTGCCAACGATCATAACTTGTAGATAAAAAGCTATGAATTGATATGATTTCTCCATTATTTTGATGCATTCTTTGCAAATCGACAATAGGTAAAATTTGACCACGATAAACTGTGACGAGGTTGGTATGCTGATTCTGCTGTAACTTTTTCAGTTGTTCGTAGATATCTTTGATTAGAAATCGAAATGCAAGTAAAACTTCAATATTTTGTACTCGAAGTGCTTTATTTAGAATTCTGTAAACAAAGCAATCTCTTGTGTACCAAGTGATTGATGTTTCTGGCGTATATGTTTGTTGAAATTCAGCAATGCGGCCTTCTTCTATTGTATTTCCTTTGTATTCTGCTTTACACAATGTAACAATCTCATCCATACTACTGGTTTCTGTAGTTAGTAAAGTAACATCAGTTAGTAATTCAAACATCATGAATGAACAATTTGGTGTAGCTGCAGAACTAGTAGATTGTTGTTCATTAAAAAAGCTGCAGGGCATTGAATCCTCTAATCGTTCACGCCTTATTTGGTCAAATATTACTTTTTCAACTAATGTATCAAAGGGTGTTGTAGTAATCTTTGCCTATAAACAGGAACATACTTTAATGCAAAGTAAGTGTGACGTTTAGGTGGCAAAACATAGAGCGTCAAAATCTCGTAGAGGCAGAATATCGAAGAGGAAAAACATAGAAAGAAAAAACGTCGAAGTGCATAATGTCGAAGAAAAAGCATCGAAAATAAAACCTTGAAAAGGCAAAACGTCGAAACTCATAAACTCGAAGACGAAAACATCGAAAGTACAAAATGTCGAAAGTTTCTTAATCAGTACGAGACAAAAACAATATGACTCATTAACATAGCCTATTCATTCTCTTAAAGATTTGGATGTGGCTATCGGTAGGTACCTTCTGTTAACCAAAATCCAATATTTCATGTAGGATAGATCTAGAACGCTTTCAACTTGCCTCGATAATTCAGAAATCGATACCCGAGAATATTTACAAAAAATGTCTTTCTTGGTCGCAAAATCTGCAAAAAAAACTAAGAAGTATATTCAATACGTTCTGGTTGCTTCAAAATTTTGTCAATGTATTTGTATTGAAAATATAATAAAATTTTTATCTAATTATTTTTGAATGGATGAAAAAAGGCAGAAAGGAAAAATGTCGAAAGGGAAAAACATCGAAAATAAAAATGTCGAAAACAAAAGTATAACATGAAGATGAACCTGTAAAGTTGAAGATGAAGGTGAGGAAGATTGGTACTTCAATACATTCTCATTTTCATCATTTATATCCGTCTACATTTCTATTATTTTTGTTTTCGATATTTTTATTTTCGACATTTTTTCCTTTCGATATTTTTTCTTTCTGCCTTTTCCCACCATACCTTATTTTTGGATTCTTGCATTCAGGAAGAACAAAATGTGAATTTTTTTCCAACTAAGAAAAGGAAAGTGATAGAAAATACACTATTGTAGAATTTTCAACGTTCTCATTCTACATCCACAATTTTCCATATTTTGATTTTTGACATTTTCTTTTCGACATTCCTGTATTTCGAGACTTTGTACATTCGATATACTTTTTCGAGATTCTTCTCTTTGAGATTTTGACTTTCGATGTTTTTCAACTTTCCCAGTGTGACAA